TAGGTCTATATAGAGGAATCGGACCTCCTTTTCCTCCTGGTGACCCCTCTAGGTCTATATAGAGGAATCGGGACCTCCTTCCTTCCTCCTGGTGACCCCTCTAGGTCTATATAGAGGAATCGGGACCTCCTCCTTCCTCCTGGTGACCCCTCTAGGTCTATATAGAGGAATCGGGACCTCCTTCCTCCTGGTGACCCCTCTAGGTCTATATAGAGGAATCGGGACCTCCTTCCTCCTGGTGACCCCTCTAGGTCTATATTTAGAGGAATTGGGACCTCCTTCCTCCTGGTGACCCCCTCTATAGGTCTATATAGAGGAATCAGGACATCCTTCTTCCTCCTGGTGACCCCTCTAGGTCTATATATAGAGGAATCGGGACCTCCTCCTTCCTCCTGGTGACCCCTCTAGGTCTATATAGAGGAATCTGGGACCTCCTTCCTAAAAATGGTGACCCCTCTAGGTCTTATATAGAGGAATCGGGACCTCCTTCCTCCTGCCAGTGACCCCTCTAGGTCTGTATAGAGGAATCGGACCTCCTTCCTCTCCTGGTGACCCCTTTAGGTTTATATAGAGGAATCAGGACATCCTCCCTCTTGCCGGTGACCCCTCTAGGTCTATATAGAGGAATCGGAACCTCCTTCCTCCTGCTGGTGTCCCCTCTAGGTCTATATAGAGGAATCGGGACCTCCTTTCTCCTGCCGGTGACCCCTCTAGGTCTATATAGAGGAATCGGGACCTCCTGCCGGTGACCCCTCTAGGTCTATATAGAGGAATCGGGACCTCCTTCCTCCTCCTGGTGACCCCTCTAGGTCTAAAATAGAGGAATCGGGACCTCCTTCCTCCTCCTGGTGACCCCTCTAGGTCTGTATATAGGAATCAGGACCTCCTTCCTCCTGCTGGTGACCCCTCTAGGTCTATATAGAGGAAATCGGGACCTCCTTCCTCCTCCTGGTGGCCCCTCTAGGTCTAAATAGAGGAATCGGGACCTCCTTCCTCCTCCTGGTGACCCCTCTAGGTCTGTATATAGGAATCAGGACCTCCTTCCTCCCAGTGGTGACCCCTCTCAGTTTTAGCATGCAGTCTATCTTTTCCTGTTTCTTTGGTTCCTCCAGTAATAGAAGTCGTCATTATAGATCTCTAATTCGTCTTTTGGGTTTTATTTCCAGCTGTATCTGCGAAGATGAACGAGCCGGAGATCTGCTACATCCTGGACGCCATTTTGTTTGTGTATGGAATCGTTCTCACTGCTCTCTACTGCCACCTGAAGGTAAGGGCATTTCTCTGCAGCAAAGGGGAAGATCTTCATTGTGTTGGTGTATCCTCTCCGACATTTGCTTGTGAAACCCATGGATCTGGAGGGCTCCCTGGGATTCTGGTGTCCTCTCCTGGATTCTGGTGTCCTCTCCGGGATTCTGGTGTCCTCCCCGGGATTCTGGTGTCCTCCCGGGATTCTGGTGTCCTCCCTGGGATTCCTTTGGGGGGCGGTGTCCTCCCTGGGATTCTGGTGTCCTCCCTGGGATCTGGTGTCCTCCTTGGGATTTTGGTGTCTTCTCCAGGATTCTGGTATCCTCTCCGGGATTCTGGTATCCTCCTTGGGATTCTGGTGTCCTCCTTGGGATTCAGGTGTCCTGCCTGGGATTCAGGTGTCCTCCCTGGGATTCAGGTGTCCTCCCCGGGATTCTGGTGTCCTCCTTGGGATTCTGGTGTCCTCCCTGAGATTCTGGTGTCCTCCTTGGGATTCAGGTGTCCTCCCCGGGATTCTGGTGTCCTCCTTGGGATTCTGGTGTCCTCCCTGGGATTCTGGTGTCCTCCTTGGGATTCAGGTGTCCTCCCCCGGGATTCTGGTGTCCTCCCCGGGATTCTGGTGTCCTCCCCGGGATTCTGGTGTCCTCCCTGGATTCTGGTGTCCTCCTTGGGATTCTGGTGTCCTCCCGGGATTCTGGTGTCCTCCCCGGGATTCTGGTGTCCTCCCCGGAATTCTGGTGTCCTGTCCGGGATTCTGGTGTCCTCCCCGGGATTCTGGTATCCTCCTCGGGATTCTGGTGTCCTCTCCAGGATTCTGGTGTCCTCCCCAGGATTCTGGTGTCCTCTCCAGGATTCTGGTGTCCTCCCCAGGATTCTGGTGTCCTTTCCAGGATTCTGGTGTCCTCTCCAGGATTCTGGTGTCCTCTCCGGGATTCTGGTGTCCTCCCCGGGATTCTGGTGTCCTCCCCAGGATTCTGGTGTCCTCTCCAGGATTCTGGTGTCCTGTCCGGGATTCTGGTGTCCTGTCCGGGATTCTGGTGTCCTCCCCAGGATTTGGTCGCCTCTCCAAAATTCTGGTGTCCTGTCCATGATTCTGGTGTCCTCCCCGGGATTCTGGTGTCCTGCCCGGATTCTGGTATCCTCTCTTATTATTTGGTGTCCTCCCTGGGATTCTGGTGTCCTCCCCAGGATTTTTGGTGTCCTCCCATGGATTCTGGTGTCCTGCCCTGGATCCTGGTGTCCTCCCTGTAATTAATTCTGGTGTCCTCCCCGTGATTCTGGTGTCCTCCCCGGGATTTTGGTGTCCTCCCATGGATTCTGGTGTCCTGCCCGGGATAATGGTGTCCTCCCTGGGATTCTGGTGTCCTCCCCGGGATTTTGGTGTCCTCCCATGGATTCTGGTGTCCTCCCCGGGAAATTAAATTAATTCTGGGATTCAGTGTCCTCCCCGGGATTCTGGTGTCCTGCCAATCACATCTCCTTTGTTTCTTTTTCAGATTAAGACCTCAAGGGAGAAAAAGAAGAATCCGGGGCCTGCTCTGTAATTAGGTACGGACTTCTTATTTTCTGATCCTCATTTGTATCAATAACGAGAACAGGAAGTTCCTCCAGTGGTGGAAGGACTCAGTTCCTCCGGTCTTCTCCAACTTCTCACTGTGCTGATAGGGACAATACTCTCTGATTATTAATATATATAAAATGTATTATTTTATATATTGCAAGGCATTACTCAGAGTTTAAGTTGCCATGTCTGAAAATACATTGTAACTTTTTAAAATTATTTTTATTATTTTTAGGTTATTTTATATATTTGCAAGGTATTACTTAAAGTTTGAGTTGCCATGTCTTAAAAAATACATTTTAACTTTTTTATATTATTTTTTTTGCTTTTTTTTTATATAATGTTTTCAAGGTATTGCACAGATTTTTTATTTGCCATGTCTGAAAATACATTGCTACTTTTTAAAAATTATTTTTATTATTTTTTTTTAGATTATTTTAATATATTGCAAGGCATTAAAAAGAGTTTTAAATTCGCTAAATGAAAATACAATGTAACCTTTTATATTATTAATATTTTATATATTGCAAGGCATTACTTAAAGTTTGAGTTGCCATGTCTTAAAATACATTGTAAAATATAATTTGTCGTGTAATTTTTTTTTTTTAATTTTTTTTTTTATTGCAAGGTATTGCACAGATTTTTATTTGCCATGTCTGAAAATACATTGTTACTTTTTAAAATTATTTTTAATTTAAAATTATTTTATACATTGTAAGGTATCACGCAGTTTGATTTGCCATATCTGAAAATAAAAAGTGACTTTTTCTATATTATTTTTAGTTTATTATATATATAAAAAAATTATTTTATATATTGTAAGGCATTATAACACAGTTTGATTTGTCATGTCTTGAATATATATTGGAACTTTTTAAAATTATTTTAATTTTTTTTTATTATTATTTAATCTATTGCAAGGCATTCCCCAGTGTTTGATTTGTCCATGTAACTTTTTTAGGATTATGTTTGGTTATTTATTTTTGTATGTTTTTTTTTATTTAAAAGCATTGCTGAAAATTAAAAATTTTAGCCATGTCTGAAAAAGACAATTAAACTTTGTAATATTATTTTTATTTATTTGTTTATTTATATTTTATATTATTTTATATATTAAAGGCATCAACGAACTTTGATTTGCCATGTTTGAAAAAAAAATTATAAATTTTTGTAATTTTAAATTAAAAAAAAAATAATTGAAATACACAATTGTAAATTAATTAAAAATTATTTAAAATTAATTAATTCCTCAGATCCTATAAAAAAATGTGAATATAGAATTGGATCAGTATGTCATTTGGATATTATATTTAATATTATTATTTTTTATTAATTATTTTAATGTATTGCAAGGCATTGCAATTTTATTTTTTATTTATTTTTTTTACAATCTATTGCATTAATTTATATTTTTTTGAAATTATATTTTATTTTTATAAATGGCTATTGAACATTTGAGTTTGATTTGCTATGTCTTGAAATTTCATCGTAAACTTATTTTTAAATATTTATTTTTTTTGTTATTTTTTTATTTTATATTATTTTATTTATCTAAAGTGGGCATAAATATTTAAACCTCAATTTATTTTTATATCACTTTCTGGAAATTGCCATGTCAAAATACTGAAAAATAATATACATTATAAAGTGACATGTCTTGAATATACATATTTTTTTGTTTATTTTTATAAAATTTATTATTATTAAAAATTATTTTATATTATTGCAAGGCATTGCTTTTGATTTGCCATGTCTTGAAAATCAAATTTATTTATTTAACTATTAATATTATATAAATATATTATTATTTTTATTTTTTAATATTTATATTATTTATTATTAATTTTTTTAATTTATTTTATATATTTTTTATTAATATATTATTTTATCTAATATTGCAAGCCATTGCCATGTAACATTTTAAATATTATATTTATTTATTTTATTTTTATATTGCAAGGCATTGCTTGGAATTTGATTTGCCATGTCTGAAAATACAAATAATAATTAATATATTATATTATTTGATTATTTTTATCTATTATTGATTTTCCCATTTCTTGAATATAAATTTTATCTTTTTTATATTATTTTTAATATTACTTTATTATTATTATTTTTTTTTTAATCTATTGCAAGGCATTAAAATGTCTTGTAACATTTAACTAAAATATTATTTATTTTATCTATTGCAAGGCATTTGGATTTTTCTGAAAATAAAATTTTTTATTAATTTTGCAATTATATTATATTAAAATTTAATTTTATCTATTTGATTTTCCATGTCTTTATACATTTTATCTTTTTGGATATATTTTTAATATTATATTATATTATTTTTTTTTTAATCTATTGCAAGCCATTAACATTTTAATATTTATTATAATTTATTTTATATTGCAATTTTTTTGCCAATTTTTTAATATTAAATTATATCTTTAATTTATTATTTTTATTTTTGATATACATTGGATCTTTTTGGATATTTTATTTAATTTAATTATTATTATTTTTTTTTAATCTATTGCAAGGCATTATGTAAAATTTTAATTATATTTATATTATTTTTTTATTTATTTTTATTTTGTCAATACAATTTTTATTAATTATTTGATTTAATTATTTTAAAATACAAATATTAATTTTTAAATTTATATATTTATTTAATTGATATTTTATTTTGGATTTCAAATTTGAATATAATATTATAATATATCTAATTTTTTTTATTTTTTTGGATATTATTTTATTAAAATAAAATTATTTTTTTTTTTTAAAAATTGCAAGGCAAAAATTATGTAACAAAAATATTATATTTATTTATTTAAATATAATTTTATATTGCAAGGCATTGCTTGGAATTTAAATTGCCATGTCTGAAAATACAAATATTATATTTACATTATATTATATAATATTATATTATATTATTTTATCTAATTAATTTTCCATGTTATGAATATAAATTTTATTAAAATTGGATATTATTTTTAATATTATATATTATTATTTTTTTTTTTTTAATCTATTGCAAGCCATTGCCATGTAACATTTTAAATTAAAAAATTATATTTATTTTTATTTATTTTTATATTGCAAGGCATTGCTTGGAATTTTTTAATAAATTGTCTGAAAATACAAATTATATTATATTAATATTATATTATATTATATTGATTATTTCATCTATTTGATTTCCCATTTCTTGAATATTAAAATTGGATCTTTTTGATATTATATTTAATATTACTATTATTTATTATTATTATTTTTTTAATCTATTGCAAGGCATTGCACAGAGTTTGATTTCCCATGTCTTGTATAATACACGGGATCTTTTTGGATATTATTTTTTAATATTATTTTTTTTTAATCTATTGCAAGGCATTTGATTTGCCGTGTCTGAAAATACAAATAAATATATTAAAATTATATTATATTATATTATTATTTATTATTTTATCTATTTAATTTTTTCATGTCTTGAATATAATTTTATCTTTTTGGATATTATTTTTAATTTTAATATTATTATTATTTTTTTTTTTTTTAATCTATTGCAAGCCATTGCCATGTAAAATTTTAAATATTAATATTTAATAATTATTTTTTTTTATTGCAAGGCATTGCTTGGAATTTGATTTGCCATTGTTTGAAAATACAAAATATTATAATATATTAAATATTATATTATATTATATTGATTATTTCATCTATTTGATTTCCCATTTCTTGAATATACATTGGATCTTTTTGGATATTATATTTAAATAATTATATTACTTATTATTATTATTATTTTTTTTAATCTATTGCAAGGCATTTGATTTGCCGTGTCTGAAAATAAAATATATATTATATTATTAAATATTATATTTATTATTTTCAATATCTATTTGATTTCCCATTTTTCTTGAATATACATTAGATCTTTTTGGATATTATTTTTTAATATTATTATTTTTTTTAATCTATTGCAAGGCCATCTATTTGATTTGCCATGTCCAAAAAAATTTTAAAACTTTTTTTTCTTTTTTTTTAGTTTTGTCAGGAGCGGGCATGGGTTAGAACCTCAAATCCTCGCTTCCTGTCCTGGTGACACCTTGGGGTTTATTTACTAAAGCTGGAGAGTCCAAAATCAGACTCCCTTCTGCATAGAAACCAATCAGCTTCCAGGTTTCATTGCCAAATTCATTGAACAAGCTGAGGTTAGAAGCTGATTGGTTTCTATGCAGAAGGGAGTCTGATTTTGGACTCTCCAAAATAATTATTTAGTAAATAAAAAAATTTGTGTCTCAGGAAGTGACAGGTTGTCACCAGTTTAGGAAGTGCGTATAGACAGCAGTACAGACCTGATGGAGGGTCTAACCCATCCCCCGTTCCATCTAAAACTAGTCAGAGCTGGTCTTTTTTTAAATAACACCTTTCAAAAATAAATTCACAACCCTAGTGCCCCCCCCCCGCCCCCCCCCCAATGTCTTGCTGCAAGGGTAACAAACACATTTCAGAGCATGTAGTTCTGCAGACTCCACCCACTTTCCCGCCCACTCCCAGCTCCATAGACTACTAGCACAGGTGACCCCCAGCTCGATTTTCCTCTCCTTCCTGTAGTCCTACCTAAGTCCCTCCCCCTCCCTCCCATCAGAGAACAAACACTCCCACTACAAAGCCTGATTTTAAATGCTTTCAATCTT